ATGCGTTTTCATACTCGACAAAAAATGTGTGAGCCTCTGTGCATAAAAATTGGTAATTCTTCAATTAAGACTAGCTCAGAACCTGTAAAATTTCTGGGTATATTACTCGATGAGCACATGACATGGAAACCACACTGTGAAAATGTGGTTTCATATTTAAGTTCCATAAACTTTTTATTTTTAAATCTAAGAGATGTCTTAACGAGACAACAGTTGTTAAGTTTATATCATGCTCGTGTAGATTCACATATTCGTTATGGTATTTGTTTATGGGGTGAGTCCACTCTGTCCCAAGCAATACTTAAAGTTCAAAAGAAAATAATAAGAACAATAGCTGGCCTTTCTAGCACGCATAGTTGTAGAGGCACCCTCCCCGATGATATAAAAAACTTAATATGTGACAGACGACGTGCGAAACGGCTTGCCACCCGCACCCGCCTTCACCGACACAGACATGACTTAAACGTACTTAACACACGGGTGAAAGCGGCTCTGGACGAACTGGCCCAGCACAACTGGGCTAGGCACCTGGAGTCGCTGGATCCACAAAACAACAGCCTCTGGAAAACGCAGAGGGCCCTGCGACAGACCGCTGGCCGTAAAATTCCTCCAATCCACGGTAGTGTGGGGGTGGTTTACACGAACCAGGAAAAGGCCGAGGCTTTCGCCGACAGCCTGGAACTGCAATGTAGACTGCCTCAGCTGCCCGACGAAGACGAGGAATTCGAGATAGTGGCTGAGCGCGCGGCCCGACGCGTCGACAGAGAGCCAGACAATGACATAATCCCCCCCGCAACTCCTGACGAACTAAGACTGACAATACGCAGACTTAAAAACAGAAAAGCCCCCGGACCCGACAATATAATAACACGACACTAAACGACTACCACACAAGGGCCTCATGGCCCTACTAAACATAACAAACGCGACACTCAGACTAAGACACTTCCCTACCCGCTGGAAAACAGCAAACATAATCCTTATCCCAAAACCCAACAAAGATCACACCATCCCATCCAACTACCGGCCCATTAGCCTGCTCCCGGCTATGAGCAAAGTGGTAGAAAAAATTATCCTAACCCGTCTAAGAACCCACTCCCAAGAACTGCAAGTCATTCCAGACGAGCAGTTCGCCTTCCGACCCAATCACTCCACTGAACTCCAAATCCTTCGCCTTACCGAGCACATCACGGCGGCCTTCAACAGGGGACAGTACACTGGTGCTGTCTTCCTGGACGTCGCAAAGGCCTTCGATACGGTTTGGCATGAAGGCCTACTGATGAAAATGCTCACCAACCAATATCCCATATCCTTTACCAAACTCATAAAATCCTACCTACACCACCGAAAATTCCGCATCCAAATCCAAGATTCCCTTTCCACCACCCGTCCCATGGAGGCCGGTGTCCCCCAGGGCACCGTCCTGTCCCCACACCTATACACCATTTACAACTCCGACATCCCACATCCCCCCAACACCAACATATACTTATACGCCGACGACCTGACAATCACATCCCAATCCGTAGATCCTAGATATTCCGTCTCCCTCCTCCAAAACTCCTTAGACCAACTTGAAACCTGGTGCAACAGGTGGAAAGTCAAAATTAATCCCAACAAAAGTTCGGCTATCCTTTTTACCAAACGAAATATCCCACAAAACCTCGACAGACTGACACTATCCCAGGAACCCATCTCCTGGAATAGACAAACACGATACCTGGGCGTGACGATGGACCAGCGTCTCACGTGGAAACCGCACATCGTGGAGACGGTGACGCGAGCGAAGACCACCAGTGCTAGGCTCTATTCCTTACTCAAAGGTGGAAACACCCTCAGTTTAAGGAATAAGCGAACGCTTATCAAGGTGGTACTTCAACCGCAGCTAACCTACGCCTCCACGGCGTGGGGTCACGCGGCAAAAAGCCACTTAAAGTCATTACAGGCTGTGGAAAACATAGCCCTCCGCACGGCCACCGACGCGCCCTGGTACGTAAGAAACACTGACATATTACGAGACTTACAATACACAAACGCTACACAGACAATAAGACAAAACGCGGAGAAACGGTTTGACGTAGCCGCTAGACATGACAATCCCCTCCTCAGGCAAGCCGTTGACTACGTACCCGACGTGACCGACAAACACAAAAGACCTAGACACCAACTTTTTGACCCTGGGTGACCACCCCAACGACCCCCCCCCCCTGCCCGCTAACCTTTTCTGTTTCAGAGACAGCCAGGATCAAGAAACGAAGACAACGACACACACACACACACATACACACCCCCCATACCCTCCTTACCCCTCCCCTCCCGCGCTAGCCTAAGGGCCACCTTAGCAAAGCGCATCCCAGGCTGCATAGCCGCACTACCCTACCCAACCATACCACACATAAACATGACACTACCCCCGGGGTTTACACAGACGAGCCGGCGAAGCAAGAAGAGCGCCAGAAGAAAGGGCCCTAGCCGGCGGGGCCCAGCCAGGACAAAAGGAGGTCCCACAAAGCGCCTACACCGGCCGCATTTGCGGTCGGGGTAGACGACGGATGGGGCCCACCTACGAAGGCTGTCCAGGCCTACACGAGATGAGGCAGGATAAAGAGGGATAATCCCCCTCGATCCCAAATCATTGAGGCCAATTTCTAGCCATGGAATAATGGCGCGAGTTGTAGAGGTATTTTTGTTGAGCTCAATATTTTAACTGTTACGTCGTTATATATTTTGGAATTGTGTGTATATGTTTATAAAAACAAAAATAAGTTTATGCTGAATCGTGATATTCACTCTGCTAATACTAGAATTGGGCAACACTTCCATTTGTCATTTGCAAGATTATCGATTGCTTCAAGATCTCCTGACCACATTGGCTTAAAAATTTATAATTCTCTCCCGGAAAATATTAAGTCTTGTAAAAACTTTTTGATCGATAGGTGTTACTATTCTCTTCCAGAATATTTTAAATTGTAAGGTTTTTTAATTTTATGAACTGCTAAATGTTTTTATTCAAGCAGCGGATGTTATTTGAATTGTTTTTGTGTTTAATGTTGTGCAAAACCATACTTATCTTATCAACTTCGACGTCATCTTTAACATAGGTGTTGTATAACAATGAAAAAGTAATATTAACGGTCGATAGAAGGAAGCACAAAAAACAGGCACTTAGGTAGGAAATTCTGGAAGGAAGCCTAAATAGTTGGAGATAGGCAGTGGAAGTGGGAACAGTGGGCAGATAGGTAGCAAGACAATCGGCGGGCAGTGTGACAGAGTAGTGTAGAATTAATTGTTTAAAGTGTTATTGGTTGGCAGCTTCCATTGCTTTATGCTCAAGGGCATATATTTTTCTAAGATAAAATTGTTACAATTATTATTAACGATTGCTCATTATTTATTACATGTTGAAATATGTATTTTGTCGTGTCTGCCCAGATATTGCAAAACAACTTATTGTTATTGTTATTGTTATTGTTATTGTTATTGTTATTGTTATTGTT